CTCCCCGGCGAAGAACTGTGCGGTGAGCCTCCACTTTCCCTGACGTGGAATACTGTGGGCGGTGGGAGTCATCATGCTTTCTCTCAAACGCGAGGATTTTTCACGCTCTGCAAGAAAACGCCGGGGGGCAGCGGGGGGTCATTGCCAACAGAGCCCCCGCGACCATTCCGTCACGGTGCAAAGATAGCATTTGCCGCAGGATTTGTGGTAAAAAAGAATTTTTTTTGGAGAATTTGTCGAATGGGCATAAAACAACCACTCGTGATGCCCCCCCCCCCCCGGGGCACGGGAAACACTGAAGCCAACACCCTGACAAAATGGAAGCCGAGAGCCTCAGAACAAACAATGAGTTGATGTCGATTTAAAGCTTTCGTGACTGCAGGGATTCATCTTCTTGGTTCTTTCGGTAAAGTCACGTAGAAGGGAAATAATAAAATAATAAAAATTAAACATAATAAAATACAATTCTCACGACGTTTCGGCCACAACGCAAGCAGCCGTCCTCAGGTGAAGAACAGGTCTGTCAGAAAGACGCTGTCTTTCCGACAATTTCAAAGATGCTGTCTTTCCGACAGCCCTGTTCTTCACCTGAGGACGGCTGCTTACGTTGTGGCCGAAACGTCGTGAGAATTGTATTTTATTATGTTTTATTTGTATTATTTTATTATTTCCCTTCTACGTGACTTTTACTGAAAGAACCAAGAAAATGAGTTGGTGCTTTAGATCCAATCTCGATTTGAAGTTTTAGTGACTGCAGGGATCCATCCTCTTTGGTTCTTTCGGTTAAGTCCACGGAGGTAATAAAATAAATTAAATCGCGACGTGATAATTGTTTTTTTACCCTTTCATCTGGCAACTAAACTGACACTTTTTTTTGCCAGATAAAAGGGTTAAAAAAACAATCATCATATTTTGCTGCTGGTAAATGAGGTTCCAATGGTGTAAATGCTTTACCCCGAGCTCTCATACTCTGATGGTGCATTGTCTTTGAGTTGTGCGCCTTTTGGCGTCATCTGGTCCAACACCATGTGAGACTAGGCTCTAAGAAACGCTGTCTCGGGTGTGGACCAATCAACTTCAAGGACACCTTGGGGTGCGACAGGGATGTCCTCTGGCTAACACATTATTTAACATCTATTTCGACTGCGTAGTTCGTGAAGCCTTCAATAGCTGTACCGGGGGAATTTCCATTTGGTACAGATATAATGGGAGGCTGATCGACGCCCGGGTGCGATCAAGGGATGGCTCCCTATTGGTCAACCACGTTATGTATGCCGATGATTTGGTAATAGCTGCTCATTCAGAAGAGGAGTTGGAGACGCTGCTGCTGAGACTGGAGCGTGCCACTAAGAGGTGGGGCCTTACCATCAGCCCCACCAAAACTAAGCACCTGCCTGGGTATTTTGTACCTTCGGACACTCCACCCCCACAACTCCCAATCGGTGATGGGGCAGTTGTGGAGAGAGTGGAGAGTTTCCCATACCTGGGCAGTGTGCTTATGACCGGCTCCAGTTTATCAGCAGAGGTCTCACTCCGAATCAGTCGAGCGGCAATATCTTTTCATCGGTTGCGTAACGCTGTGTGGAAGTTACCTGGTCTGTCGCTCCGCACGAAGCTTCAGGTCTTCTCGGCCACGGTCATTCCCTCCCTTCTCTACGCTTGCGAAACGTGGACCCCCCTAATGGAGCATCTTCGCCGGTTAGAAACATTTAGGCTGGCCTGCCTACGATCCATCCTGGGTTTAACCAGGCTGGATTGTGTGAGGAGCTCACAAATCCTTGAAAGATCTGGGCAAAGTCCCATCGGTGAGCTCCTCCGGCAGGCAAGGCTGCGTTGGCTGGGTCATGTAGCCTGCATGCCCAGCCACCGCATGCCTAAACAGCTTTTGTTCGGCCGGATCGAGGGGGCTAAACGGGCGCGGCACGGGCTAGAGAAGAGATGGAGTGATGTGGTACAGGAGGACGTGGAGCTGAGTGGACTTGCCGATGACTGGTACCAGCGGTGTCAAGATCGGCCTCTGTGGAGGAAGCTCGTGAAGGACGCTACTGGGCAGTTGGAGGCAGTCGCCCTCCAACAACAACGGAGGGCGGAGGAGCGACGCTCACAACAACGAGCGGAGCGCCGGGGGGCTAAAGCACAGCAAGTTGGTACAGTAGGGGGCACAGGTGGTGCATCAGCCAGTCATCTCGGTCATCTCGGTCAGTCGACCCGTGGCACCTGGGTCTGCCCCGTGACCTCCTGCCAGCGGGCGTTCGACACTTCACGTGGCCTCAAGGTGCACTTGGCCTGGCACAAGCGTCGTGGTGACGTCACCGCCACTTAGTGGCGAATGGCGGTTGTTGTTGTCTGTGTGGGGGCCGTTGGCCCCCGGGGTCCCTCCCGCCTTCATCCCCTATTCCGTATACGTTACCCCACCTCCCTATTACCCGCTACGGTTTCGCCGGCATTCGAACGCGACGTCCCTACTGTTACAGCCTCGCGCCGCGCTCCCACGCTGTGAGCATACGTGCGCACATCATCATCAATCAAACGCCGTGCTCGCAGTATAGCCCTGTGCGGCACGTTACCAATGCGCATCCGTCTCCGACACGTAACGAACGTACGCACACACACACACACACCGCTTCGTGCACTCCAACTCCACACGGACTACTCAAGTTACGATCGCGCACCTGTATCACACGCGGAGTGAGCATACGCGACACCCACTCTCGCACCGCGCTGCGCAGCGCTCCCCCGAGGCGAGCCGCAGCACTACAGGATCACTGCGTACACCCGCGCACCCACACGCTCACACTGCACGACAAGATCACGCGAGACCACGCTTCGCTATTAATGATTTATTATATGCTACCTGCGAATTGATGTTGAATCAGTGAGTCGACGAGGCTGGCCTATTCCACCCAAACCTGTACCTATTCCCTATTTATCGGCTATTATCCTACTTCACCTCCCCACTCACTGTTTGGTGCCCGCGGAGGTTCGCTGCTCTCTGCGCTAACAGCGCACCTCGATGCGTCCCACGGACGTTCGGGTCGCTGGCTGGAGCTGCTGCTGGTCCGCTGGCCTGGAGAGAAGAGAGCGATTTCCCCTCTGCGCCCCTCTATTTATCCTCCCTACCTCAAAGGGATGCTGCGCTGAACAATGGGCTCGTGCACCTCGAGCCCGCGCACGGCGGTTCCGGGCGCTTTTGATATGCTAATCAGTGTGCGGCGTTGGCGGCGTACATCCTAATTACTCCCTTACCCTTCCTAACAATGGGGCCTGCGCGCTCAAGCGTAATGTTCCCAACCCTCCATGACTATACGCAACAGCTCCTGCGGTCCCGCTATTCATGCTGTCCCGTCCCTCCCCTGCTTGCCCCGTCGACCCGTGGGGGTGTGTGTGGGGGGAAATGCGCCTCAACCGCGGTGGCCGAATGCCCCATGCCGCGACCACACCATATTAAGGCTGGTCGCAGCGCCGCGGCGCAACGTAGCACGGGGGAGGTCGTCCAATTCCCTGATCGCCGGAAACCGTGAGAGTTAACCCCGATAAGGGTTTCTCGGATAAAAACCGGTCGGCCAGGTGACCTCCCCTCGGAGCTCTATGGGGGGGGGGGGGGGGGAAATGCGTGCGGGTGTGTTCGTGTGAGGTGAGGTGAGGGGGACGCGGGGTTGGCTCCGTTGCTTGGTGGTGGCGAGGTCGGGGATTTGGGCGCCTGCCGAACGACTTCGTGGCGGCGGCATCACATCTGTGTGTGTGTGTGTGTGTCTGTGTGTGTGTCTGTGTGTGTCTGTGTGTGTGTGTGTCTGTGTGTGTCTGTGTGTGTGTGGGGGGGGGTCTCAACACATGGGGAGTGGTGGTGTAGTGGTTAGCGCTACGCTGCGCTGCGAACCCGGCGAGCGTGATTCTCGCTCACGGCCAACACCAGTGACGATTATCTGAACCGGTCCTGGGCCTCCCCTAAGTCGACTCAGCCTCAAATGAGTACCTGGTGCGGTGTATAAACATCGCCACTGGGGAGACAAAGGCGACCGGGCGTGGTGCTGGCCACCCACCCCCTCGTGTGCCGTGCCGGCCTTCATAGGTGCTCGCTAACAGCACTTGCCCCAACAGTCTGTTCAGGCTACACGGGGGATCTTTGTCCCATTCATGTGGGGAGCGGTGGTGCAGCGGTTAGCGCGCTGCCCTCCAAACCCGGCGACCCGAGTTCAATTCCCGCTCACGGCCAACACCGATCGGTGATTGTCCGAACCTGCCATGGCCCTCCCCCTAGGTCGGCTCAGCCTCAAATGTGAACCTGGCGCGGTTAGCGCGACTGGCCACGTACATCGCCACTGGGGAGACAAAGGCGGCCTTGGCGGGGTTGCTGCCCACGGCCTTCATCGGTGTTGCCCTTCACCCACAGCGCTCGCCCTGACACTCAGCGAAGGCGATCCTGCATCATGGGGGTCTTTGCCTTAGGCGTGCCAACAATTATGTTTGTTTCGATGGAAAGCTTTAGTGACTGCAGGGATTCATCTTCTTGGTTCATTCGGTAAAGTAACGTAGAAGGGAATTAATAAAATAATAAAAATAAAACATAATAAAATATAATTCTCACGACGTTTCGGCCACAGGTCTGTCGAGAAGACAGACCTGTTCTCCACCTGAGGACGGCTGCTTGCATTGTGGCCGAAACGTCGTGAGAATTATTTTATTATGTTTTATTGTTATTATTTAATTATTTCCCTTCTACGTGACTTTACCGAAAGAACCAAGAAGAATTCTATTTGTGCTGAGGAACCCCTCAGACCCCCCCTCGCCCTGCTGCCCCCCAATCGACCCCCACCACTGCTTTGTTGAGGGGGGACGGCTGCGTTTGGACCAATCGGAGCGAAGCCCGTGCCCCGACCCCCCCCCCCCCACCGGCTTTTTATCCCTCTGTGCATCAACCTCCCGTGCTCGCTGCCACCGCCACCGCCGCCGCTGTGTCAGAGTGGAGCAGTGAGAACTCCGCCGGCTTCGTCTCAAGGGCCATGACGCGCTTCGAGCCCGAGTGCAGGTAACGCGACGTGCAGAGCGCCTCTCGGAGGCCGTCGGATGTATTGGAGGGGCTTGATAACCGCTGAGACCTGGTTCCATCTCTGGGTGTCTCTCTCGGTGGGTTCATAATGGCAGTGTCAGACACACTAACTCAGTCCTGTTGAGACCTAGGTTCCATCTCTGGGTGTCTCGGTGGGTTCATGATGGCCGTGTCAGACACACTAAAACGGTATTGTTGAGACCTGGTTCCATCTCTGAGTGTCTCTCTCTCTCTCAATAGGTTCATAATGGCCGTGTCAGACACACTAACTCTGTATTGTTGAGACCTGGTTCCATCTCTGGGTGTCTCTCTCAATAGGTTCATAATGGCCGTGTCAGAAACACTAAATCGGTATTTTTGAGACCTGGTTCCATCTCTGGGTGTTTCTCTCTCTCGGTGGGTTCATGATGGCTGTGTCAGACACACTAAATCGGTATTGTTGTAACCTGGTTCCATCTCTGGATGTCTCTCTCTCGGTGGGTTCATAATGGCCGTGTCAGACAACACTAAATCGGTATTGTTGAGACCTCGGTTCCATCTCTGGGTGTTTCTCTCTCAGTGGGTTCATAATGGCGGTGTCAGACACACTAACTCAGTCCTGTTGAGACCTGGTTCCATCTCTGGGTGTCTCCGTGGGTTCATAATGGCCGTGTCAGACACACTAACTCAGTCCTGTTGAGACCTGGTTCCATCTCTGGGTGTCTCTCTCTCGGTGGGTTCATAATGGCCGTGTCAGACACACTAACTCTGTATTGTTGAGACCTGGGTTTCATCTCTCGGTGTCTCTCTCTCAGTGGGTTCATAATATGTCAGAAACACTAAATCAGTACTGCCGAGACCTGGTTCCATCTCTGGGTGTCTCTCTCTCTCTCGGTGGGTTCATGATGGCCGTGTTAGACACACTAAATCAGTCCTGTTGAGACTTGGATTCCATCTCTGGATGTCTTAGTGGGCTCATAATGGCTGTTTCAGACACACTAAATCAATACTGCCGAGACCTGGGTTCCATGGCTTAGCGTCTCTCTGTCTCTCTCAGTGGGTCCATCACAGCCGTGTAAAGTTACTCAGTAGGCACCGGTGAGATGTGGGTTCCCACCTGATTCGGCTGAATTCCCACTCTGAGAATCAAGATGTTTGGCTTGAATGGCGTGCGACAAACGCTCCTAGCAAGGCGATTAAACAAGTGCATTGGGTCAGCACTCCTCAGAGTAAGCAACAATTACCAGATCGTCACCATACATGACCATTGACTCCGCCAGGGCATCGATCCCCCTGGTTACAGCCATGGAAAGGTTCTTGAACTACGTGGTCACAGAAGATGTTAAATAATGTGGCAGCCTTGCAGATAATCCGCCATCTCTGCTGGACTCTCCCGGCCTGGAACCACAAACTGATCCTGAGAGAGCCTGGCGATGATGAATAATCCTGCAATGGGTACGGTCATTATTTTCTTTAACGGGGACCACCAGGGCACCCTTCCCATCCTGCAGAACCCATCCCATGGTCCAGACAGTTGTGAGATACGGCAGTCTACAGAAAAACGCCACCCTCCCTCAGCAGTTCGCTTGGAAGATCATTACTGCCCAGTTCTGTTTCCTGGTTTCGGACTCTGGATGCCGCCTTCAACTGCATCAACAGATGGCACCTCAGCCAGCCATCACAGGGGTGGCTACTTCCTCCAATATTTCAGTCACAGCAAGCCCCGGCAGGATTCACCTCAGCATTGCCCCATGATGTTTTCTGGGCTTAGATACCCCCCCATCCCCCAAGGCCTCAGCAAACCTGCAGAACTGTGCAGAGATCGGATCACCAATTAATTCCCCTGAGGATGGAGAGAGGGTTTTGTGGCGCTGCAAGTACAATTTTTGGAGGGAATCAAAGAGTGATTTGTAATGGAGGGGAATTGCATCTCATCAGCAACCCGTGCCCACCACTCATCCTTGCATCCCTGGCAAGGGCTCTCCGAACCCTCCCCGGCGAAGGCTGTGCGGTGAGCCTCCACTTTCCCTGACGTGGAATACTGTGGGCGGTGGGAGTCATCATGCTTTCTCTCAAACGCGAGGATTTTTCACGCTCTGCAAGAAAACGCCGGGGGGCAGGGCGGGGGGGGGTCATTGCCAACAGAGCCCCCGCCACTATTCCGTCACGGGGCAAAGTTAGCATTTGCCGCAGGATTTGTGGTAAAAAAGTAAAAAAAATTGGAGAATTTGTCGAATGGGCATAAAACAACCACTCGTGATGCCCCCCCCCCCCGGGGCACGGGACCTACTGAGGCCGACACCCTGGCAACATGGAAGCCGAGAGCTGAGAGCCTCGGAACAAACAATGAGTTGGTGTCGATTTAAAGCTTTCGTGACTGCAGGGATTCATCTTCTTGGTTCTTTCGGTGAAGTCACGTAGAAGGGAAATAATAAAATAATAAAAATAAAACATATTAAAATACAATTCTCACGACGTTTCGGCCACAACGCAAGCAGCCGTCCTCAGGTGAAGAACAGGTCTGTCGGAAAGATTCAGACAATTTGCTAAAGTGACTTCTGCAATTGCACTTCAAGCAATTGACGGGCGCTTGAGATCCAGTCAGTCCACCAGATCCTGAACCCGTTGCCGCCTCACCGTAAATAAACTGTGAAGTCATCGTGGCAGAGCGTTACTTTAATGTTTTGGGGTGGCCAGGAGTTCGCTTTGTCCCTCACATTAGGAATCGCGGGTGCACGTAATGAATGTACTTGTAATCTAAATTCTTAACTACTGAAAATAAATCAATAAAGGTGTCCAGTTTGGGGGAAATGGGGGCATTGCCCACCCGTGCCCCCCTCCCCCGACCTTACTCCGCCCATGTATAAAACTATAAACTATTGTTACTGGTAGGAACCACCTGGTTCCACCAGCCCACAGGGGATTATTGTGTCCGTCCGTCCATCGTGCATCCAGAAATGGGAGGGGTGGGGCTGGGTGGAGAGGGGTGGGTGGGGAGGGGCTGGGTGGGGAGGGTGGGGAGGGGCTGGGTGGGGAGGGTGGGGCTGGGTGGGGGGTGGGAGGGGTGGGGCTGGGTGGAGAGGGGAGGGTGGGGAGGGTGCTGGGTGGGGAGGGTGGGGCTGGCTGGGGGGAGGGGCTGGGTGGGGAGGGGCTTATCACCCCGTGGTGCCCTTATAAAACTCAACGTTTAACCTACTCACGCCGGCTTGTGCCCGCCCTCACAGTCGGGCATATTTGCGGAATACACCACGCCGCCGTTGACCCTGCAGGCCATTGACCGAGCAACCCAACGTTCCTACCAGCTCCCTCCGCACGAATGTGTTTGTAACCAGGTATGGTGACACCAATTAGCTACGCAGCTCTGTTTGTCACAAGCCACGTGGCCATCACAAATGAGAGCTCAACGCAAGTGGCTTCGCATCACGTGGACATGTCGAGCAGCCGCACATCCTCTTGAACGCGTGAGGCTCGTTCTGAATGTTGGAGGGGGAAACCCGGAGGACCTGGAATGAAAAATCCCACGTGACCACGGGGAGAGAGAGAGGCAAATTCCAAACATACAGCAGCAGCAGGCGTCAGGATTGCAACCCACGACCTCCTGCATACCAGGCGTGCGAGATGACATCTTGGCACCGTGGTGCCCGATAATGCGAGGCCCTCTCAGCCAGTGGTTCTTCATCTCTACTGCAGCCTTGTACCCTTTTAATTCTCATTCGGTATATAACATTTTTTACAATGTTAATAGAAACACAGGGGTTTGATCAAACAAAGTCGTTACTTGCATGCCCCCATGCTTCATTTTCGATGATTTAGCGTCTGAAAAAAATCTGCCCATGTCTTGCAGCCCCATGAAAGGGCATCTCGCACCCCCAGAGAGGGCATCTCACACCCCAGGTGAAGAAGAACCAATTGCCCTAAGCTGAATCTTCCTTAGTTTAGGCCTAAATGCAGCCCTGCAGGCTGCGGTTGACCCAAGGGCTGGCACGGCGCTTCTGCTGTCATCACGAATGCGCGTGTTTTGGGAACGTCGCACCGCCATGCAATGACGGGTTTGTGAAATCCGTTTGTGTGGTGGCAATGGTGGTGGCAGCGATGCTGGTGAAGGTGTTGGTGGGTGGGGAATGTGATGGTGGTGATGGTGTTGCTGTTTGTGAATGTGATGGTGGTGGTGATGGTGTTGCTGGTTGTGAATGTGATGGTGGTGGTGATGGTGTTGCTGGTTGTGAATATGATGGTGGTGGTGATGGTGTTGCTGGTTGTGAATGTGATGGTGGTGATGGGCCAACACCAGCGACGATAATCTGAACCGGTCGTGGGCCCCACCTATGTCGACTCAGCCTCAAATGTGTCCCTGGTGTGATGCTGGTCACCTTTGCCCCCTCGTGAACCGTGAACGGCCTTCATAGATCTTCTTGGTTCTTCCGGTAAAGTCTCACAGTGAGAATTCTCACTGTGAGAATTATTTTATTCTTTTTTATTTTTATTATTTTATGTTTGATTTTTATTATTTTATTATTTCCCTTCTACGTGGTGACTTTACCGAAAGAACCAAGAAGATGAATCCCTGCAGTCACGAAAGCTTTAAATCGAAAAAGGCCTTCATAGATGTTTGCTAACAGGACTTGCCCCGACAGCCTGTTGAGGCTATACGGGGCATCTTTGTCTTTGTTGCTGCTGCTGTTGTCGTTGTTTCTCGTGCCAGCGCGGCGATGCTCGCGTTGGAGGCGAGCTCGCTGTGGCTGCGGGCTCGCGCCCCCGCGCCGCCGCGCGTCGCCATCATCTGCGGCTCGGGACTCGGCGGCATCGCGGACAGGCTGCAGGAGCCGGTGGCCTTCGACTTCGCCGACATCCCAAACTTCCCCAGCAGCACCGGTGCAGTCATCGTGAACAGCGTTACGCACCGCGACGGAAGACAAGAAATTGGCTTTTTCCGTATTCTTTGGGTCTTTCGCTAAAGTCACGCTTGTGTTGTGATCGAAACGTCGTAGATTTTTTATTTTACGTTTATCTTCTTTGGGTCTTTCGGTAAAGTCACGTAGAAGGGAAATAATAAAATAATAAAAATACAACATAATAAAATAATTATCACGACGTTTCGGCCACAACGCAATCAGCCGTCCTCAGGTGAAGAATGAAACACCACCAAGCTTGGAGCGTATATTTAACCACGCCTTGACAAAAACATTTGCATATCAAGAGGAATTTGGCATATTTATGAGAGATTCCTCTTGATATGCAAATTCTTGTGTCAAGGCGCTCTCCCCCCCTCCAACCCATTTTAAATAGAAGCTCCAAGCCTGGGGTGTGTCATTCAGACTCTGTCTTAACGACAGACCTGTTCTCCACCTGAGGACGGCTGCTTGCGTTGTGGCCGAAACGTCGTGAGAATTATTTTATTATGCTTTATTTTTATTATTTTATTATTTCCATTCTACGTGACTTTAGCGAAAGAACCAAGAAGATGAATCCTCTGTTGGAAGTTAGCGCCGTGTCCCACCCCCGTGTCCCACCCCCGTGTCCCACCACCACCGTGTCCCACCCCCGTGTCCCACCACCACCGTGTCCGCGTGCAGTGGCTGGCCACGCGGGCCGCCTGGTGTTCGGGCGCCTGGGCGGGCAGCCCACCGTGTGCACGCAGGGCCGCCTCCACTCGTACGAGGGTCACCCTCCCTGGAAGGTTAGATGCACGTGGGGGACACGGGGGGGGGGGGGGCCACGGGGGGGGGGACACGGGGGGGGGGGGGGACGGCACGTGGGGACGCACGGGGGGGGGGGGGAACACACGTGTCTCCCTGTCTCCCCGTGTCTCCCAGTGTCTCCCTGTGTCTCCCCGTGTCTCTCCCCGTGTCTCCCCGTGTCTCCCTGTGTCTCTCTGTGTCTCCCCGTGTCTCCCTGTCTCTCCCACCGGTCTCCCCGTGTCTCTCTGTGTCTCCCCGTGTCTCTCCGTGTCTCCCCGTGTCTCCCAGTGTCTTCCCGTGTCTCCCACCGGTCTCCCCGTGTCTCCCCGTGTCTCCCTGTGTCTCCCTGTGTCTCCCCGTGTCTCCCTGTCTCCCCGTGTCTCCCAGTGTCTTCCCGTGTCTCCCACCGGTCTCCCCGTGTCTCCCAGTGTCTCCCCGTGTCTCCCTGTCTCCCCGTGTCTCCCAGTGTCTCCCAGTGTCTCCCCGTGTCTCCCTGTCTCCCCGTGTCTCCCTGTCTCCCCGTGTCTCCCCGTGTCTCCCTGTGTCTCTCCGTGTCTCCCCGTGTCTCCCTGTGTCTCCCACCGGTCTCCCCGTGTCTCCCAGTGTCTCCCCGTGTCTCCCTGTGTCTCCCTGTGTCTCCCACCGGTCTCCCCGTGTCTCCCTGTGTCTCCCTGTGTCTCCCAGTGTCTCCCTGTGTCTCCCTGTGTCTCTCTGTGTCTCACTGTGTCTCCCTGTGTCTCCCCGTGTCTCACAGTGTCTCCCCGTGTCTCACAGTGTCTCCCCGTGTCTCACTGTGTCTCCCTGTGTCTCCCTGTGTCTCCCCGTGTCTCCCTGTCTCCCCGTGTCTCCCAGTGTCTTCCCGTGTCTCCCACCGGTCTCCCCGTGTCTCCCAGTGTCTCCCAGTGTCTCCCCGTGTCTCCCTGTCTCCCCGTGTCTCCCTGTCTCCCCGTGTCTCCCCGTGTCTCCCTGTGTCTCCCACCGGTCTCCCCGTGTCTCCCAGTGTCTCCCCGTGTCTCCCTGTGTCTCCCTGTGTCTCCCACCGGTCTCCCCGTGTCTCCCTGTGTCTCCCTGTGTCTCCCAGTGTCTCCCTGTGTCTCCCTGTGTCTCTCTGTGTCTCACAGTGTCTCCCCGTGTCTCCCTGTGTCTCCCCGTGTCTCACTGTGTCTCCCTGTGTCTCCCTGTGTCTCCCACCGGTCTCCCCGTGTCTCCCTGTGTCTCCCTGTCTCTCCGTGTCTCCCCGTGTCTCCCTGTGTCTCCCACCGGTCTCCCAGTGTCTCCCCGTGTCTCCCCGTGTCTCCCTGTCTCTCCCTGTCTCCCCGTGTCACCCTGTCTCCCCGTGTCTCCCCGTCTCCCCGTATCTACCTGTGTCTCCCCGTCTCCCCGTGTCTCCCTGTGTCTCCCTGTGTCTCCCCGTGTCTCCCCGTCTCCCCGTGTCTCCCTGTGTCTCCCAGTGTCTCCCTGTGTCTCCCAGTGTCTCCCTGTGTCTCCCACCGGTCTCCCCGTGTCTCCCTGTGTCTCCCTGTGTCTCCCAGTGTCTCCCTGTGTCTCCCTGTGTCTCCCTGTGTCTCCCACCGGTCTCCCTGTCCCTCCATGTCTCACTGTCTCCCCGTGTCTCCCCGTGTCTCCCCGTGTCTCCCTGTGTCTCCCCGTGTCTCCCCGTCTCCCCGTGTCTCCCTGTGTCTCCCAGTGTCTCCCTGTGTCTCCCACCAGTCTCCCAGTGTCTCCCCGTGTCTCCCCGTGTCTTCCCGTGTCTCCTAGCGGTCTCCCTGTGTCTCACTGTGTCTCCCTGTGTCTCCCAGTGTCTCCCAGTGTCTCCCCGTGCCTCCCCGTCTCCCCGTGTCTCCCCGTGTCTCCCCGTGTCTCCCAGTGTCTCCCACCGGTCTCCATGTGTCTCTGTGTGTCTCCCTGTCTCCCCGTGTCTCGCTGTGTCTCTGTGTGTCGCCCTGTCTCCCCGTGTCTCCCTGTGTCTCCCACCGGTCTCCATGTGTCTCTCTGTGTCTCCCAGTGTCTGTGTCTCCCCGTGTCTCCCTGTGTCTCCCCGTGTCTCCCCGTGTCTCCCCGTGTCTCCCTGTCTCCCTGTCTCCCCGTGTCTCCCTGTGTCTCCCCGTGTCTCCCCGTGCCTCCCCGTGTCTCCTCGTGTCTCCCCGTGTCTCCCCGTGTCTCCCTGTCTCCCTGTGTCTCCCTGTCTCCCACCTGTCCCCCCGTGTCGCTCCCCCAGGTGGTGTTCCCCGTGTCTCCCCGTGTCTCCCTGTCTCCCCGTGTCTCCCTGTGTCTCCCCGTGCCTCCCCGTGTCTCCCAGTGTCTCCCACCGGTCTCCATGTGTCTCTGTGTGTCTCCCTGTCTCCCCGTGTCTCGCTGTGTCTCTGTGTGTCGCCCTGTCTCCCCGTGTCTCCCTGTGTCTCCCACCGGTCTCCATGTGTCTCTCTGTGTCTCCCAGTGTCTGTGTCTCCCCGTGTCTCCCTGTGTCTCCCCGTGTCTCCCCGTGTCTCCCCGTGTCTCCCTGTCTCCCTGTCTCCCCGTGTCTCCCTGTGTCTCCCCGTGTCTCCCCGTGCCTCCCCGTGTCTCCTCGTGTCTCCCCGTGTCTCCCCGTGTCTCCCTGTCTCCCTGTGTCTCCCTGTCTCCCACCTGTCCCCCCGTGTCGCTCCCCCAGGTGGTGTTCCCCGTGTCTCCCCGTGTCTCCCTGTCTCCCCGTGTCTCCCTGTGTCTCCCCGTGCCTCCCCGTGTCTCCCTGTGTCTCCCTGTCTCTCCGTGTCTCCCACCTGTCCCCCCGTGTCGCTCCCCCAGGTGGTGTTCCCCGTGCGCGTGTTCCACCTGCTGGGCGTGAGGATTCTGATCGTCACGAACGCGGCGGGCGCCATCAACCCGGACTACTCCGTCGGGGACCTCATGGTCATCCGGGACCACGTGGACCTCCCGGGGCTGGCGGGGAACGGGGCGCTGAGAGGGCCCAATGAGCCCCAGTGAGGGCCACTCACCTGCAATGTCACCACCACCATCACCACCATCACCACCATCACCACCATCATCACCATCATCACCATCATCACCACCATCACCACCACCACCACCATCACCACCACCACCATCATCATCACCACCACCATCACCACCACCACCATCACCATCACCACCATCACCACCACCATCACCACCATCACCACCACTATCACCACCACCATCACCACCATCACCACCACCACCACCACCATCACCACCACCACCATCACCACGATCACCACCACCATCACCACCACCACCATCACCACCACCATCACCACCACCATCACCACCACCATCATCACCATCACCACCACCACCATCACCACCATCACCACCACCACCACCATCACCACCCACCACAACAACACAACCGCCATTCGCCACTAAGTGGCGGTGACGTAACCACGACGCTTGTGCCAGGCCATGTGCACCTTGAGGCCACGTGAAGTGTCGAACGCCCACTGGCAGGAGGTCACGGGGCAGACCCAGGTGCCATGGGTCGACTGACTGAGATGACCAAGATGACTGGTCATCTCATCACCCCCATCACCACCATCACCACCATCACCACCATCACCACCACCAACCAACATCATCACCACCACCATCACCACCACCAACAACACCATGATCAAGTGTCACCATCATCCCAAAAACACCCCCCCGGGAACCCCCCCTCACCACCACCACCCACCATCAAACCACAGACTCATCAACCACCACCACCCACCCCAAAATACCGACTCACCACCACCAGACCACCATCCCAAACACCGACTCACCACCACCACCACCATCATCCCAAACACCGACTCATCACCACCACCACCACCATCCCAAACACCGACTCACCACCACCACCATCATCCCAA